CAGAGAAGAGTTCTGCAAAATGCCCAGCGAAATGTAGGAGCGAAAAGAACATCCTCGCGTTTGTCTGCTCGGTATTTTGCAATTCCAAGGCTCCCAGAATGTCTATTTTCCCTTTTCGAAATTTTTTTTCCACAGGGGATTAAAAAGTTCATCAATTACATCTTCACATAGACGACGTCCATAGAGCATCAATTAAATGTCCGCAGTGCTTATCAATTATGCAGCCCATAAAATCAAAGTCTGTTTTCATCCATCTCTCGTTTTGTGAAGATTGGCCACGGGAATGCAGCCGTTCTTAGAAGAAGAACACTGACATGAACATATGGGAGCCCTCTATGTCATTCTGTACGATCCGCAGAAATCCGAACATTTCGACGATTCATGAAAAAAGCCGAGGGCTTGGAATCTTCCATCTCCTATTGAGAAGCACTTGTCGCTGTCATTGCTTCCAGGGAACAAATCGATAAGTCATATTGGCCTTTTCATTTCCGCTTAGAAGCCCTTATGACAGGAACTCAATTGGTTTTCCATCTCGGCTTTGTGATATCCGATTTCATGGTGGTGGTGGTGTTGGTGTTGAGTTAAGGTGACGCCCCACGTCAACGTGGGACGCACCATAAATTATTCAACAACCTCTGCACCCCTTCACGGTGCTCTCTTGATTGAGTATACGCCATGGATTTCCTTCCGGGTATATCCAATCGAAGAGAGCCTTTAATGTGTACCAAAGGATCTTTGAAACTTCTTCAATGAGCGGAATTAGGCCTATAGTTAGCTTTCAAATGTGGCTCATCATCTGGTTTCGGTACCTGGTAACAATGTGGGTGTCAGCTAGGCGATGCGTCTCCCGAACTAAATGTGAGAGGAACTGTTAAGGCAATGAAGTCGTTTCCGTAAAGTTAAATGAATTTTGAAGGAATCGGATGAAATTCTGACTCCCATATTGTTTCCAGAATCATTAGGTTCGGAATAGTTCTTTGATTAATGACAAAACTAAATTTTTGAAAACTATAATTTTCGCTGAGTGATCAATTGAAGCCTATTTAGTACACGTAGGGTTCGAATCCCGTCCCAGGCTGAAGTTTTGTCCACAACTCGCCAACCTTGTGAGACTTTTGGGGATCGTAAACCGGGGTAACGGAACTTCTCCCCTATCGCGGCATTCTCCCNCAAGTAATTAAAGGACTCCCTACCTCACAAATTGCGCGCTCCAATCTTTCATCGCAATCCTGCGATAGGCGGCGGGTGCGGCGTGTGCGACGCCGTGTTAGGGGAGAAGTTCCCGGACCCCGTAAACCGCGGCGAAATAACAGCTCTTAGCAAAGCATCAAGTCAAAACATTTCTATTCATAGTCCCATAGTTTATGAGAGAAGGAGAGTAAATAATTAAATGTAAATGCGTCGGTGTTGACGAGAAAGGACTTCCGCTTTTAAGCCTTTAGACTTCCTTATGTTGAGTCAACCAACGTCAAACGGTCGGAACATAGAAGAGCTTCGTAATGAGTTTTTATGAATGGCACTCTATTAGGACATTATTCACTTCCAACAAAATCCCCTGACTACGTCGAGGAATAGCCAGTCACGACGTGTCGCTAAGAGAAACGGAGAAATAATCTGAAAGCCGATCCTTGGTCGAAGTGGAGATGAGGGAGCAACGGATTTGTTAGAAAGAAATGATCTCGAAGATCCCAGAACGATTATGAGGGACGTTACTATCGTGAACGATAAAAAGGTACAACAGAAGAGTGAAAAATTGTTTTTCTAAATAAATATTAAATCTGAAGAAATATTGTAGATATACTTTATTATACCCCGGTCCTCCCTTTGAACTATGAACCCCACTGAACGCAATATGCTTTGGCATTTGCACAGTTTCTAGGGATGGATTCTAGAAACATTTAGAAATATACCTTAAGCTGACATTGAACCACGCCAATTTCCATAGAATTAGGATTCATTGGATCACACGATAGCTGCTGCCATTCATTTTTTCGAGAGATCTAATGCCAGTGGCCCAAAATGAAGATGTTTTCGCCTTCCTTANATTAATCCCTAGGAGGTCCCCATTCTTTTCCAGGTGATGATATCCCACTGAGTCAAGTCTCAACCCTGTCCACATTAGGACAGTTGTCTTCATGAGAAGAACAATAGAATAATTGATCACTCAATTTTTAGGCGTCATCACCGTAACTACATTAGTGATGAAGTGGCAAGTAGCGCACTATCATACACGTTTTGTCTCTGGCTCAAATCCCATATCGTTCACATCCACCAGGCGTTCAATCCTCCCAGTGTCATTTAAGTGGTACTAGACTCGTGTGGGATGATAAAAGCACTTGTACATCATTTGGCCACAGCAAATCACTGTACAGGTCTCATACACATACATTACGCCACTGATTTTGAATGAACTGGCGCCGCATCTCTTAGACGGGAGAGATCATAATCGAAAAACTGCATTCGGATCGATAATAGACGAAATTTAATAATATTAAGCCATTGTAGAAGGGAATAATCATCTCTACGGCTAGGCCTCTATATCAACTTGCGAGATAAGCCGATTAGTCTAACCAAACGAGAGCCTAATCACACCTCATGCAAATCTGGATAGCCGATTTTTGTATAGACCCAAGATTCATCTGGCATGGATGGGTTCAATCGTAGTCTACGATACAGTAGCGGTTACGCAGCAATTCAGATAACAACCTTTCACTAAATGTTTTGATACTTCCATATCGACAGACAGAAGTAATTCCGAAAAAGCCGTCTCGTCTCGGTTCTTTGCTTTTTTTGACTTTCTCATTGCTCCTATTTCTTATTTATTAGATTCCAGGTTTCTCAACCTTGTATAGACACTAATTCAGTATTCCTCAACGAATTGGTCCCGATAAGTCTATTCATCAACGACCAATTCGTGAAGATGTCAACGTGAAATTATTCATTGCAATTGATGGCCACTAAAAGAACCCTGACGTTCATTCATGTACATATGTCTGGCACGCACGAAAGAGAAGGTCTCGCTCTCAAGACTGGGAAGAAACAGGGAATCCAAAAAATCCTATTCACATTTTTAAATATGATTTTTAAAAAAATATTTGAAAGAATCGGATCGGTATTAATTTTTCTTGACTCTTCTGGAGACTCGAAACACTCGAAACATCTCTTTCAGAGCATCGGCCATCAGCTAGACGTCCTGCCCTGTCTTTTCTAAGTGAATCGACTGTCAAGTATCCGTGGCCAGAACTTTGCTGGTGTTCATAAACTTTCTGGCGACGGATGGTTGCTCTGATCTTGTCTCCATTACCTTTATCCTTTCTGCCATTTACCTACATACATATATTATATAAGCATTTAAATTGTAACTCAGTAACGTCTTACTCTTTATATATACTCGTCTATATATTCTTCTTCTGGGCTCTTTTGCTTATATAACTACTGATTATTGAAGCAGCAAACAAAACAATCAACTGCGATAACCATCTGTTAGCGGAAACCGCACAGATAATAAGCAGTTGGCAAAACAAAGTCAATGAATAAACAAGAAGGATCTGTCTAAGCATAAGGCTTTGCTGATAGGGGGCTTAGAAAATCATCATATTAAACAAACGGCACCATCGGGAAATCTATTGAAAAGGCGTAACGTCTATAGTAGTGGAGAGGACGGACAGTCGCTCACAGAACTCAGGTTCAAGTCCCATCCTGAACTGAAGATTCCACCTATAATTTGGCCCTCTGTGGGTTAAAATATAATTCCGTCAACAGCTGACTGGAAATGGGAGAATCTAGGAGTCGTTTCAGTCCCATGATCTCCTGGAAGCCTTGAGGAGAATGTGATTGACGAAAGTGCCAGATGACCCTGCTGGTAACTTTTCTACAAGTAATAGATTAGATGCGCCATGAAAATCCATTGAATCACCTGCGTACTCCTACCGTAATACTACAGTAATCACCGCAATATTTGTATTTTTCAGCCCATGGTGCTCTGTCGTGAATACCTTAATGGTCCCATGGGATGCAGCTACATGCCTACTAATGGTTGGTGTTGGAGCCGAACGTCTTATTGCCACAAGAAAACATCTTTCAAATGCTGTCATATCGAATAGCGTGAAGGTAGATAACCAACATCTCGATCAATCGATTATTGAATCATTCGCAAATGCTTTAGGTGATCTTCTTTCTTGCAATTGCTGCAGCCGTGTTTGTCACTTTCAACTACTTTATGAATTTGACGTAAGTTTCTCAAAATTCGAGCATATAGTTCGTCATCATCGATCGCATTCTATGTCTTATTTTTTTGTTTTTTTTTTGAATAATTACCTTTTGTTGTGCTTTCATACTTGAAGCAATCAGCGTTAGTACAAAGCAAACGTGTGCATGGTGAGGTTTTATTCTAAGGAGCCTTTTCCCGTAATTAAACGGCGGTAAATTAAAATAAAGAGCAACTTCTTTTCTAGGAAAGCAATCTAACGAATTGAAGGGGGAATGTTCTTTGTAAAGTAAGGATACGCAGTTCTTTGAATCTTCAGCACTTAAGTGCCTCCGACCTATCTTATGGACCCATCTACAGCCTCAGCGGAGTACTTCTACAAAGGACATACAGAAAGTAAAATTGAACACCATGATTCTAACCAGCTCTTTCCTCCCTGGCCCCACCCATAAAAGCCATGCATTAACTTCAAATGTGAATCTCCACGTGACTAGCCAGGGAGTTGAGGAAGGGCTATGTAGTTGGCCTACATGAGGTACAAAAACACGAATTCTGACAGAGCACAATCCCATGCGACCCCCGCCGTTAACAGTTAATCTACACACTTTACTAAGCCTCTCATTTTGATTTTTAATTCTAATTAAAGATTCTATGACGAAATAAAGAAATCGAAATGTTTGAACCCCACGCATATGTCAGCGGTAGAACAAGCAGATAAAAACACAAACAAATGATGTTTAAATCCGATCCCTCGATTCTCATGAGTGTTACACCCACCCCAGATCCCCAGGAATGTCGTATCCGGCTATGATGCGGAACATCGAATGATAATTATGTCAGATTTAACGTAAGATTGCCTAATCAAAACCTATCCAAGAAATTCCGGTATAAGTGCTTCCTTGATAATTATGCAAATAACTCACACGATCAAATAGATAACCATTACAGTAGTAATAGTAGCAATTAGGTAGAAATAGTAATGATATAATAAACTCTCGAACTTTTAGAACTGTAGTTCGTAGTCGTTGTGGCCGTATAAATATCCTACCCCACACCAATGAAGACTTGCGGTGGAATCGGTGACCAGCCCGCCGGAATACGCCACCACCATTCGGCTTTCTTTAGGAGCAACGAAGCGTAATTTCAATGAGAGCAGTAACTATCTAATAGAAATTTCTGTTTGTCGCTGTGCTTTCACAACAGCGCAGTTTGGCCCCTCTCTGCCTTCTTATGATGCTTTTGTGAACTTCACGATCAGGAATCTACAGCTTCCACTCTTTGTCGTCGCTTTTTCCAGTGAAGTATGTTCTTTGTACATCAGTTTCTTCAATAGAATCCATGTGATCCCCTATAGCAGCATTGTATCAACAAAAACAGTACTGTAATGTAGTGGCAGAAGGGCTAGCCCGACTTTCGAACTGAAACGTAGTGACACAGGCACCTAGCCAACCCGGCAAGCTTATTCTTACCGAACAAAGTATCTTTTCCGATTCAATAACACTGGGACATCAAAGAATTTCCTGAGCAATTCTTCAAATATAGGCTGTTTCCTTTTCAGAGACCAAGGAGTGTGCATATGTGATGGCGCATCGCTGCCGGACCGTTATGCAATGCTATTTCGAATTTGTGTCTGCACGATGGTCGAAGTTGGTACGATTTCCCTATTCGGCTATGTGCTTATCCTCTCTCGATCTGAAGCCGATGGCATGGGCATTAATGTTGCAAAGTACTCACTCAGCAAACGATTTCAGGTACGACAGAGATTCCGATTTTCTTTTTTATGTATTTCATTATTCCCAGCCTCCTCTACAATTGTTGTACCATTTCGAATGTACATATCGGTGTGGTTGTATGCAACCGGTTGGAGAAGTCACCACTTCCAACAGAGACTGCAGAAGATATTTCTGCTATGAGCATCCAAGACCACTTGGATTACTTCTTTTTCTTTGCCACTACTGGAAATTAAGATCAATGTGGTCCATAAAAATGATATAATGATGTCAAATTGGACAGGATTGAGCTAATGCTCAAGGTGACGGAGGACCTTTTCAATTCTCTGACGAAGTCGAATACACAGTGTATCCAAAATCCGAGTTGGCAAGGAGCAAACGGACCCTTTCTTCTCCATTACCTCTTTTGTGACGTAGAGGTTGAAAGTGGAGCAATGACTAAGCCGCGGCTTTTGCCAGTTCATAAGGTCCCGAATGAATACTCCCCACTCCAACCGGGCCTTTTCAGGAGTTGATTGAAAGATAATTTTATGGTGTATTCTTGCTTTTTTTATATATTTTTAATTGTCTATTCAGCGTCCTAATTGTGAAATAAAGAGTAATCTTGATTATTCAAATTGAATTGTTGAAAAAAAAACATTTGAAAGCAAGGAAACAATCGTAGGAGATTAGCATGTGCTGCTCCCTAACTACATGCCCTCGAAACAGCCCTGCAATGTTACAACTTGGAACCCTTGACGTAGATACCATCTATACTTGATTGACCTTTACTTAAGTTACTTGACCTCTCACATTGAATACGTCTTCCTACCTGATAATGAGTTCTTTGAGCTTTGATCAAGGAATTTACGGTCCTCCACTTTTCTTTTTGCGATTTTCAACACCCTAACACATTTTTACTTCAGATACATGAGACTTACCGTACTACACAAATGCTTCTCCCATCTGCTGTACTGCATGCTGTTCTCTACCTCTCCTATTTATGTTTACTTATACCGGTTAGAAATATGAGGTAAGATTATCGATCGATCAAGCATTTTGAAGCTATTGATTTTATACTTATAAATATTTAGGGCTGATCAATCACTTACCCTGCACCAGTTCAATTTGTCGACAATCATATTCGCCTTTCCATCGATCTATGGACTTGCACATCCTTTGGTAAGTTCTTGTCGAGTATTTGTATACGTTGTAGATTGATTGATTAACCTGAAAACATTTGCTTAATGCTGCGATAAAAGAGTCCTTTTACAGATTCTACCAAAAAATTTATTTTCAAAATTTTCTATCAATCATATCAGTTCAGATTTTGTGAATAATGGAGACACATGAACAGACATTTATTCGCAAGCCCTCTCCCCCATCCAGAGGTGATTGTGAAGTCAACTATCCCTCCTAGTTGAGGGAACATGAAGGATTCCAGATCTCAAAATCACTTCTGCATTTGACAACAGGGATCATCCTTCTCGCCATTAATTGATTCCGCTTGTCGTTCCGTTGCTGGTTCGTTACCCTGCGTGTCAGCCGAGTATCATACGCACAACACCGCCAGAGATGGTTTCATTGTT